AGAAGCTGCATTTATCTTTTCCAGTGTTTCATATACTCAAATGTTGTCACCTTGATTGTAACCTTTTTCCTGAGGTGGAGATAAAGCTTGCAAAGATGCTCACACAAGCTTAGAGGAGTATGCTCAGACAGCAGAGAACACAGGGAGGAGGGATTGCTTTAAAGCAGTGTGTGTTAATGCTGCAAGTCTAAATGGGTAACTGATATTGTAGCAGATAAAGGAAGTGGATTTAATTCACAAACCACTGAGTTGTAGTCCTCTTTACATATCTTCCGTGTGAAAAAGCTATTAATCTACTGAGGCAACTGGGTATTGATCCTTATTGAAGAGCATTGGGATTTTTTTGTTGATATGCTGATCCCTTTGGCATGTGAGTTATTTATGGTTTGCTTCCTCCTCCTGTAGAGTCTGGCTATGGAAGGAGTGTAAATGGGTACCCTAAGGTGAGAGAACTGTTTTTTCTAGTTGATACAGCCATGATCAGTATCTGGAATGTTATTTTCTATTGTTATTTGGCTGTTGGGTAGCTTACACAAAGAGAAAATGTTGTATAGACTTGTTCCTTCTACTTTGGGATGCAGATTCATGTCCATTTCCCTAAAAATACATGAAGTAAACATTGCTTGACATCCTTTTGTATATTGTGTCCATCATTCCAAAACTTGCTACTTGTTTTTATCTTATTCAAACTTTCTAGCTTGAGATGTTAATTTCAGTCAAGTCAATGAAACATTTGAATTCTTTTAAGAACTCCAGATTAAAATAAGCATAAACCAGTGGCATTTATTCGTTATCAGTTGGTGGTGCTTGTTCTGTAGAATTGTGCCCTGTGAGCCTCTTGAATTCGGATTTTATTGCCTTTTGTGGTTTGTGTGGCACCAAACATACAGGCAAGACTTGCCCTAAGGCACAATTAAGCTGCATGATTTTTCAAAATGGCTATTTTGATTTTCTTGGGTTGAAGAGGGAAAGACAAGCTCCAGTTATGGGGGAGAAAACAGATTAAATATTTACTATAGTTGTGCAGTGCAATGCAAGTACCTGAGGCTCTTCAGAATCGAGGCAGGATTTTTGAGCTGTGCTTCAGCTGGAGTGAGAGCCTGAGCACACTGTAAGAGAAAAGGACAACTTTCTCTTTCTCCCTTAGGGCAGTGGTTGATTGAAAGGTGAGTAGGAAGAAAGTGAGCACTGGAAAATCCCCTCTTTTTTTCTAGCTCGATGCCTGGTAGAGGTTTGAGGTATGCGGGAATTGATTTATAGCCTCTCTGGGAAGCTGGGAAATCTGACAAAGATAGTGCTGCCCACTGACACTGGGGGAAACAGGAAGTAACAAAGGAAACAAGTCATTGCCTCGGCGTCACTTTTGGCCACAGCTCAGTGCAGAGGCACAAGCCGTTGGGGCAGGGTTTCTTTTCCTTTTGTGTGTGGAGTGTACAGCAGCTACCGCCGCCGCTTTGAACCTGGTGACACACCAAACGGGAGCAGTGCAGAGATGTTCCTGCCATGCCTGAGAGGGGTCACAAGGCATTAATGGCTTTGTCATCACAAAGGAAACAATCATTCGGTGAAACTGTCAGCAGAAAAACTATGTGTCGATCAGGAGCAGTCACCAGGTTAGTGCTTTTTATGGCTTGTATTTCTGCCATCTCTTCTCTTTAAGGTAGAGAGCAGGCTACAACTAAGGGCAGAATGTGGTATCTGGCGTAAAATGCTTTTCACCTAGGGACAAAATTAAAGGGTAAAGAATTGGAGAAGGAATAGATGAGTTGGGTGTTGGTTGAAAACTTTTGCCAGAAAAGCAAACAAGTTGAAGCAAGTTAAACAGAGTAGACTTACTTACAACAGTGTATCTCACTCAGGCTTGGTTCTCTGTTCCCTTTGTCTTGTAAGATTTATTTGACTTCACAGTGTTTGTTCTGTGCTATTAATCTTTCTGAGAGACCATTGTGAAAGGGGCTGTTAGAAGTGTTAAGAAATGGAATGTGTAACCAAAAAAGTAGGTGAGATATGGAAGAGTATTTCAGAAGTACTGGAGAAGGGTTAATGAGTGGACAAGAGACTTGAAAATTCTGCAGAAAGCAGTTTTGAGAACAGATGGTAAATGTTTAGATGATTGAATCTGAGAACAAGTTTTTGCTCAGAATTGCTGAGAGCACATAAGGAAGGTTTTATTTTACAGTTTTGCAGATTGTAATGCTGCTTTGCTTTTGGTAAAGCCTTTTGTAGAGACTGATACTTCAGTCTCCCTCTGCATGATGTGAGGAATGCATTTATTTCTGCAAGTTGTGTTATATATGTAATGTTATATGTAAGCTATATATTCAGAAGGAAACTAGCATCTGGCTTTGCTAGGTTTTACTATCAAAATAGAATCTCAAGACTAGAGGTTATGAGATACTACAGAGTTTAAAAATTTCTCAGGCATAATTGGCATAGAGAGTTGTTACAAATTCACATCAGGTTTAATTTTTGTACTGCCACTTTGGAGGCTGGTTTTAATTTTTTTTGGCATGACCAAACTGGGCTCCAGGACAGACTATAAATATTATTATAACCAGTGAAACTTTTAATACAACTTCTGGCAGATGCAGTGTCAGAGATGAGGGTAATGGTTTTTTATGCCTGTATACTGCAAGATGTGGAGATGGTCACATCTGCCATATGTTCTGCTGAAGTTAAGCAAGAGCTGAGGACTCGTGGCTCTTCCAGGATGTAATCCTTAATTGAATCAGCTTGTACTTGCTTTAATTGGGCTGCAAGCCAAGAGCTCTTAAGGCTGAGAGGGGTAAGTGTTCTTCTATAATGTAATCCAGACTTTAAATGTGGCAGAATTTACTCATGGAGGGACTTTTAGCTTGTAAAATTATGCCCTAGCCTGCAGTCTAGCTAGTTTATATATGCTGACTGTGAGGGGATAGGTTAAAATTGTTTCTCAGATGTATACATTCGCCTACTACATAGTAACAAGTTTGCTCTCTTTAAAAAATGGCTCAGTAAAAGTAAACTTATCTGATAGAATTGGGCTGACTTTATTGATCCATTAGCAATGCATTGCAAATTAGTTTGGTTTTTAGTCTGGCAGACCAGTTTATATATATGTAAGTAATTACAATAGTATCTGTCTAAGTTCTGTATCATGCTTGACAGTGCTAACTGCACTGTTCTGTCTTTCCAAAAGCATTCTTGAATGATGAAGCAAATCCTAAAAACTGTTGTTCTACCATTTCTCCTACTGTGCTCCAAGGCCTAGTATTTCCCCACAGGTATAGAATTGTCTGGAGGAATCACCTGAAAAACAAAGTCATGCAAGGCCTTTCCCTGTCTGCTGCCATCCTCTTCTGGTTCAGGGGGTTCTGTTCAGTGGGGGAGAAGATTGATTCAACAGCCACATGTACAGGGTTTTGGGCTTGATGGAAAAATTAATGTAAAATATGCCCCTTGGTGAGTGGGATGAAGAATAAAGTGTGTAGCTATTACTAGAAGCTTTAACCAAGCATTGCATGCGTGATGCTGCCTTCTGTTTGGCTCTGGTTGCACTGAGTGGGCTCTTTCTGTTGCCTTCATTGTCAGCTCCATGGAAGAGATTCTGCCTGTGCACAGTGGTGAAAATGTGTAGTGCTTTGGCTTGTAGTGCAAGAATATAACTGCATAAGCAACAACTTGGAAATACCTTTCTGTTCTCCATGATGCCAAAGCACTGTTCTCTGCAAACTTCAGTGCTTGCAGTTGTGCATACTTAGTGATGCAACATCAATCTGTTCTTGATGTAACATATAAAAAAAATTAAAAGAGGAATATCAAGAGTGGTAGGAACCATTTCAGTAAGCTAAAGGCAACCATACTGTAGATGCTAAGACAGAAAAATGTTTAAGAGCTTCATTTTTCCTTCCTCTCTCCTACCCTTACAATAAAAATTCTGGAGTTACGTTCTTCTGACAGCTTTCTCCCAGCAGCATGATGCAAAATAGCCTCATCTTTCCTTACAGAGTGGTTTTCTAATGGTCAAAAAGAAGAAAAATCTGCCTGGGCCTAGGTTCAAAGTACTTCAATGTATTTTAGAAGCCTAACTCAAAGATTTCAGAACACCAAAGTCCTCCCCAAGCGCCTGCAAATGAAACTGCTTGAGGAGCATACAGATGTGATGGGGAGCGCTGTAAGCCACACTGAAATCCAGATAATAGGTTTAGCAGCCTCTAAATCTGTTGAAAAGCCTGGCACGTTAGGTGGGCTCTTTAGCTCATGTGATGTGTGCTTGGTTGCGTGTAGTTCAGCTCTGCCTCCTGTTATTCATTTAGCTGGGATGAGGAAGTTCTAAGTTTTGGTCTCTATTCTCAGGACTAATTTATACTAAGTAGTCCAAAGTAAGAAATGATTGTGAATAGCGGAAGCAGAACCTGATACTCTGCTGTGCTTTCCCCTCTCTTAAATCCTGTAGTCATCACACTAGAACTGGATTAAATTTTTTCCCCCTGCTTATTCCTCTGCTTCCATGATTTTTTAATTTTCCTTTTTTTCCTGTCTGCCTGGTATTCTGGCTTTTCAGGGAGAGGAGAAAATGCCCCATCCAGGCACACTTTAGTAGTCTGATTAGTGTACTCCTGCACAGAAGGCCAACTTGACATTGACATATATTTCTGTTTACTGTGTTTATCTAGGGTAGCATACACTTGTTCCCAGTGTTTGGCTTCCTAGAAATCTCAGCTTACTGGTTGTTTTGGATAACCTCTTTGAGATGTTTAATTCAGCCTGAGTACATAACACTGAAACAGTTTCACACAACAGGTTAGGTGCTTAAGTCCTTTCTTATTCTGTTCTTTGTAGTAAAGGCACACAAGATTTGAAGACTTATCATCAACCTGAAACTGTTGGATGTTAGAGTTAGTTCAAGACAGTGGCATCAGAGCATATTTATCCGAATAAAAGGTCTTGTTTTTACTTACTCTTTTTTTTCTGAATATAACTAGAAACAGACTGAAATATCTTTCTCATAAATTAATTTCTGATGTCTGAATGTTGATGTGCATGCTTTTAAAAGAAGAATTTCACCCAGGACCTGCCTTTCCATTCCTTATTTCAAGGAAATCACTCTTACCGTGGTGTGGTTTGGCGTCAGCAGCCAGCTGGGTAACGCTCTCTGTTTCCCTAACTTTGACTTCTCTGCAAGATGTTGAGAAATAACTTGAAGGGTTTAGGAAAGGGTGTGTGTGTTGACTTCTGCTACTATCTTTTTGATTTTTAAAAGCTTAAAATGTCTGTGATTTAGCCCCTTCTTGGACCTGGTAACATGTTGCTGTTGCTAAAAATTTCTTTGTTGGGGAGGAGGAAGAAGGAACAATTCAGCTGGGAAAGATCTCAGTCAATAAGAACAGGGAGGAAACAGCAGAAGGAAGGATATAGCTGAACACAACAAAAAGTAACTTACCTTTTGGTGAGCAGTAAGGTCCTGGAGAAAAACTGGGAAACCATGGTGCCTTGCTGTACCTGATGTGAGAACCTTTCTAGGGCCTTGGATCCCATCTTCCCTGGTTGTGCCTATTTCATAGCACTGGGGACTAAAACCTAATTTTTGTGATTATTTTTTCTAGGCTGCCTAGAGAACGTAATTTAGTTTAAACTCTCCTGGTAGAAATTGCTAATAATTTCCACCCTTTGCCACACAGGCATCATCAACAAAGCACAAGTAGATCTAAATCCTAAACTGATACACTGAAGGATCAACTGACTTGCATTTCTGTTTTTCGTAATGCGTACACAGTGGAGATCTACTCTGCTGTTGCACTTAATCCCTCAACAAAACTGAAACACTTCCTTGTTTTTTTCAGGATGGGAACTTCCTGAAAAAGTTGGAGGGACTAGTGCTCGGGTAGGGTGTTGTGCTGAGGCTCTTGGATTGACCTCCCTTACTGCTCCTTTTGGGTAAAGGAGAAGCAAACAAGATCCATTAGACTTCAGACCTAAACTATCATTCCTTTATCAGAAATTAACTGGAACTTCATTAGTTTGCCTTCTACCAGGAAAGGTCTCTAGCCAATACCTGATGATAACAGATCCTTTTACATCTAGGTCAAAATTCCCATTCAGTCCATGCATGATTTCCTTTCTCCATTACACAGCAGGAGTTTTAGCCTAGTTCTGTTCCCAGTTGAAGAAAGGAAGGGCTCATAGTGATACATCAGAAAAAGGTACTGCCTGAGGAACTAACCTTTTCAGTTTGAGATGACAGCAGGAAGAGTGGTAGCTGCAAAGGTGCTTGGTGGAGCATGGCATTAATAACTGATATATACATTAAAGGGAAGCCTGCAGCAATCTGAGATGAATTTCATCTGCACAGGATGCTGTTGAATTTCCATCCAATATGAGATTATATAACAACCCTTTAATTCGGAATAAAGCATGTAAAGATCAGGTGTAAGTAGTATTGATACTACAGTTACTAAACTTTGACTTGAATCCCTCATTGTACAGCAGATGACATTGTATATACATGTGTGGTGTAGCACTTGGGAGAGGAAAACAATTTTCTTTCTAGTCACCTGCCTGATTAAGCCTTGCAGTGTTATCTAGAGCATTTTTAAAACATGCATACTTAAAGAACATTCACTGAACACTCTTCCATTGTTTGGACAGCTGTCAATCACTTTTGAGAGCTGTATAAAAATAAACTGGGACTTTTTGCACCATGTTTTTTATACATTGCAAACTTCCTGGAATCTATGAACACCCGTCTGTGCTGCATTCTTGAGTGCTGAACCATGTTAGTTGTTTGGAAAGCTTGTTTAAGGAAACAAGCTTTGTTTCTCAGGACTCATTCCTTAAATTAAAATCTAAGTTTTAACCTGTTTTCAATTATTGTACATTGCAGAATGATGGCCTCGCAGGAACAGGTCTGGCCAGTCCCAATGAAGGCAATTGGAGCACAAAACCTTTTGACCATGCCTGGAGGAGTGACCAAATCAGGATATCTTCATAAAAAAGGAGGCACCCAGCTGCAGCTGCTGAAATGTAAGTTGAATGAGGTATTAACTAAATTAAATGTTTTAAATGCTTGCCTTTGGGGCCATCAATGCATTTCATGTTAACAGACTATTTATTGAAGCTGTTCTTCCACTTACTTTGTCTGTACTGAAATACAGTTTTACTGGAATACATGCATGAAACACCCATAATGGAAGAGTTTCCTTTAATTGTTTTGGAACTGTAAATCTTGGATAATAAATGTTGTGATTGATTTACTTGTTTAAAACTCTTGTCAAGTCCTTCACAGGTAAGATTTTCAAGACAAACAGATTCCTGGGATACGTATCAATTTCAAATACTCTTTTCTCAAAGAAATTAGTACTTGGCTTTTTTTCCAGTTGGATATTCTGTTCTGGAAAAATATCCCCATCTCCTACTGCTGTTGTGAAATGGAAAATTTTTCACTGCCAACATTGGGCTGTTCTTAAAATTGGTAATTGCTTCTGGAATCAGAATCTATTTACATGGAGAAAACTTCAGATTTGGGCTTTATTTGTATGCTATTCATATGCTATTCCTGTTTATAGTGAAACTATACTTACATAGTTAAGGAGCAAGATTACTGTCTTTGCTAAAGGAAAGAGACTTGGCCCCTTTAAAAAGAAAAGAAAATAGGACATAATTTTATTGGCAGCATTATGTACTTGGGGTGAAAGGAGTGAGGGAGATACCGTCATGGTTTTGGAATGAATATAAATATGTATTGGTGGCCTGTGGCTACCTTCCTTCTATGGCTTATTGCACTAGTAAAGGAGCACAGGTGGTGGTCAGACCTGCAGTCTCTGAGGCTGCTTTGAAGATTTCAGAGCTGCCTCTCAAATGAGGGAATCAAATACTACTCTAGTCCTGAAATTCTGCAAATGGACAGCTTTACCACATGCCTGATCATCAACAGGCTGTCACTTAACTCGTTTGTGCTCATTTATAATAATTAATAAGATTACTTAAATAATAATTCTACCCAAGTCAGGAGGATTTAGTTATTGCACTGCCCTTGGATTTACATTTTGTCACTTTTTATCCTTTCAGGGCCATTGAGATTTGTGATTATCCATGAGGGATGTATCTACTATTTCAAGAGCAGCACATCTGCATCTCCCCAGGGTGCATTTTCTTTGAAAGGTTACAACAGGTGAGTGCCAAAGATCCTGTTTAACACCCAAACTCCTTTTACTTAATGCAGGGGCTTAAGGGTTTCATTTCCAATGAAGATAAACACGTGTCCATCTGCTGTTTGGGTTAAGCATTGAGCTTGGATTCCAAGAGATGTATTCCTTTCAAATTGTATATGACATTTCCTGTGCTTGGCAAGTGGATAGCCTTCATCTTCTGTAATTTAACCAGTAAAGCTGTTCAAATTGCAATGGGCTTACTCTTGTTACTGACTTAATGCAGACTGCAGGTGCAGATAGACACAGATTCTTTCAAACAAATGATCTTTGTTCTGTAGTGATTTCAATGCTCATCACAAAACCAGAAAGGAATCAGAAAGGAAAATTTATGGAATTACTGATTCAGCAGCTCTGGTGTCAAAACTGTAGCAACTCCAGAAGTAGTAAATGAGAAAATTCATGTGCAAAGTGTCTGACTCATTTTGTACATGTTGTAAGTCTTAATATCTGCTTTTTAAGTTGAAGGCAAAAAGACATGGCTCTCAATTAGCCAGTGCTGTCAGAATCTGAATGCAGCATACATACAAGGCCTACCAATATTAGTTCAACCTAACTTTAGGAAATTGATGTTGTAATTGATGCTAAGAAAGGCTTAATGAGAGAGAGAAAGCAGAGAAATATCACAGTATTGGTCCTAACCACTGCAATTTTATTGCATTTTTAAACATCTATGCTATTTCTGTGCTGTATAATATTCTCAGACTTTTGGAATAAGGAATTATCTTTCGGAGAATGTGAGATCTTTTCTAACTGAGCACAGCAATGGTATATTTTAGGGGAATACAGGTGTAAACATTGTAGCTACGTAAAATTCAAGAAGAATTTGTAGAAGAAACCTCTAATGTATCTTGGTCATGACACTAGCTCCAGTAATCACATCAGTGTGAAAAATACCATGGAGTCTGTAAGTGCTAGAGGCTGTGTCATTGCTTTTTATGTATCTGCATTCCAGCAGCCTTGTAGAGGCCTTGGTTGGAACAGGGACCTGGTCTTGATTATTTTTATGCACAGACAGAAACATTATTGAAGAAGGATTTGAAATGAAAGAATTGTTAAACTGGATAGTTGCATAAGGGTTTGTTGTTTTGGTTTGGTTTTTTGTTCCCCAGAGGAGTCTTAAATGAGAAAATTCCTTACGTACATACACACAAAAAAAACCCAAAAGAGGTTGAGTTATACTTGTTTTAAAATAATAAAAAAAGTGCAAGAAAGTGTTTGTAAGGAAAAGGTGAAAAATTAAGTTAACTTTTAACACTAGTTTTCCTTTATTTTCATGGAAAGCATGTGTTTTGATTTCCCCTCTGAAGTAGTGCCTTTGTGAAATAAGGATCACAGGCACTCTACATACTCCTTACCATGTGTGGCACTAGTGAATTAATGCAGTTCATTAAAACTATTGCACAGGTCCAAGCATCTGTCTGTAAGTCTGGCTGGTGGGTTAATGAGTGCCCTTCCTCCTGGCAGAGCTCCTGCCTTGTCCTTTCTACCACTTGAATGGAGAAGTTCTACAAATGCACATATGGGGATTTCTGGGGTGTTTTCCTGGGCTTGGGGGTTATTTTCCATGAGGCAAAACAGGCTGGTAAAACTGCTTTCTGTCAGAGCTTTATGACTTGCCCAGCAGCAGGAACTTTATAGATTCAGGGGTTTCTGTATTGGTTGTTCTGTTTCTCAGGGTTATGCGGGCGGCTGAGGAGACAACATCAAGCAATGTGTTTCCTTTCAAGTTAGTTCACATTAGCAAGAAGCACAGGACGTGGTTTTTTTCAGCTTCTTCTGAAGATGAAAGAAAGGTAACTTTCTTCTTCTTCTTTTGCAATATAATTTTTCTTGAAGCAGAAAGCGAATCTTGGACTTCCCTAAAATCTAAATGAACTGGAAATGCAGCTGGCACTGAAATTTGTATACCTAGTTCTTTGGGCTCCTCTGAAAGTCATGTCTGAAGTTTTAACTATGAAGTTAGTGTTAATTTAACTTGTAATTTAGGGAATGGCTGTAAGTGACATACTGGAAGACATGGGTTTTTCCATATTCCATAAATACTCCATATTTCTTTTCAGCTGAGGAGCAAATAATTATATGTTGAACCTTTGATAAAGTATGAAAACTTCTGTTAAATCTCTCGCCCATAAACATACTAAGAGTACCTACCTGGCTATAGAATTAACAGCTTGAAATTTGCAAACTGAAAATGTAATATTTCAGTATGTTCTTACAGCATTTTAGACAGTCAAAAGATTTGACTGATGAGTCCCTCCAATATAAAGTCATAGCTAAATACTATTTCAATGTATGTTCCCTGCACAGTTACCCTGTTCTTACAGAAGATAAATACTGTGCATCTGTGTTTGATGATTTAAAGATGGATGTGGTGAATGTTGTATTTTTTTCTTTAGAATTGGATGCTGTCATTGAGGAGGGAAATAGATCACTACCACGAGAAGAAAGAAACAATAACAGAGTTCAGGTAGAAACTCTCAATTTTTATTTGCTCTTTATCACTTTTGCACTAGCTCTTGACAATGGAGTTTCAGGCTTTTTGCATCTACAAGTAACTTGCTGTTTAATAAAAACAGGTGCAGTAAGGCCCAAGAATGAAAGCCCTTCCTAATTCAGCCTTTAAAGAATACCAAGACAAAAATAAATCTTTTTACTAAGAGAATGTCTCTTTACTAAGAGAAGTGTCAGCTTTGTCTAAAACAAAATAACAACTTTTAAAAGACAGCAGCAACATATCTGACTGTTAACTGGGAATAGGAACAGATTGCTTTTGCTTTTCCAGCATCCCTTTCCAGTGCTGCAGTCCTGCTAAACAGAAGGTACTCTGTCTTTTCTTTTGCAGTGACTCTGGTTCTGATGTGGACAGTTTCTATGGCTCAGTAGAACGTCCTGTTGATATCAAGTATTCTCATCATTCAGCAGATAATGAAGGTGACAAATTTAGACAGTGATCAATAAGACTTCTTTATTTGCTTATTTATTCTGGATTCTGCAGGAATTATTCCCATAGCTTAAGCAAACTGATCCAATTTGCAACTGTGTTCTGTTGTTTGGGTTTGGTTTTTTTAAGGTGTATGGTTGTTGTAGTTTTAAATCAGAGGCAGATATTCTGTGCCATAAACTGATAGGAAAAATAAGCTAAAAAAATTCAGATCCTTCAAGGAGGTTAATTAGAAGTGAGGACCTGACAGAACAGGCATTCACAGCACATTTCAGCAACTGACTTCCTAGTCAAGAACTGTGTTAGTAAAATCCAACATGAGAAACCTCCCCAAGGTTCAATAGAGATCCTTTACCAGGCCTTTTCCCATTTGCCCTTTCAGATATCTAAGGGTAGGGTTGATAGGAGCAAGTACTCTCATTTCCTGAAAGGAAATTCCTCACTATTTTTCCTAACAAGGACAAAAAAGGCACGACTGAGTCTTGTTGGGAAATCCGGTTCAATTGCTGCAAAGCAGAGGAAAACCAACTCATCAGCATTTCATTCAGGATTGTAGTTAGTCCTTACGTGTTTATGGGAGGGAAGGGTTGTATGCAAGATTAATTAAGGTAAGAGGCCTAGTAGGAGTTGAAATTAGGAAAATTAGAAGAACTGATTTTTATCAGATATTCTTACCTATTTTTAGTGCATTCTTCTGCATAATGTCCTTGAGGCTCCTCTCATAATCAATGATAAGAAATTACTGCCTAGAAATAACATGTTTTTCATGTCTTGATTAGTCTGATTTACAGTTAAAGGCAACACTGAAACCACTTAAGCCATTTGGTGTGGTGGATTTCTTTGTTGCCAGAGCAAGGCAGAAGAATTAATTGTTTTGTAAATCATTAGGCTTGCTTAGGCTTCCACATTGCAAAATTGTAAATGTTTCTATGTTAGGGTTAAGTTTTGGGTATTATATTTTTTCAAAATGGTTTTGCCAATGCATTCATGTAGTTGTGTCTCTGAAACTGCTTTGAATGTTTCTCAGGAAGGATATAACACTAGAAAGTGTCACCAGAAAGTACATTTTAACATGAAAACTGGGAAAAAAATTAATGTGCAGTGTAATTCATCTCCCCGTTATAAGTGATACCTTTTCTAGTTGACATCAAAATTTTGAGGAAACATCTATTCTAGATAGCAGAGAGGTGGACCAAAGTTACTACTTTTTTTCACCTCTTTAAAAAAATTGCTGAAAAATACTAAGTACTCGATACTCTTTCTCCGTTTCAGGAGTACTTATCAGAGTCTGACACACTGATTTTTATCTGCAGATTACGACCAGGAGGAAGAGGATGAATCGTATTTGCAACCAGATACTTGTGACATAGTGAAAGATGGTATGTGATTTCTTTGATTTCTTTCACAGAAGGCCCCATAGAGGGCCCCCAGTGAAGGCATTATTCACGTAGAGTGCCAGATTAATATTTTGTATTGATCATAACTAAGCGTTGCAAGTGGGAAAATAAATCCAGTAATGCACAGGTAGCTAATCTTAGAGGAATTTAGGGTCAAAAGTTCCAAGTAACAATGGTAACCGTTTACAGAAAGCATTACATAGAATTATAGAATCATAGAATTTAAGGGTTGGAATGGACCTTACAAATAAGTAAGTCCCAACCCCCTGCCACAGGCAAGAGACCTCCCCACTAGATGAGGTTGCTCAAGGCCTCATCCAGCCTGGCCTTGAACACTGCCAGGGCTGGGGCAGCCACCACATCCCTGGGCAACCTGTGCCAGTGTCTCACCACCCTTGCAGTAAAAAGCTTTTTCCTCTTTTAAACCTAGACTTTACCTCCTTCAGTTTGAACCCATTACCCTTTGTCCTGTCATTGCAGTTCCTAACAAAGAGTCCCTCTCCAGCTCCCTTGTAAGCCCTTTAGATATTGAAAAGCTATGAGGTCTCCACACAGGAGTTTATTACCTGTAATATTCAGAATTGTGCTGAAAGTTAAATGTTTATTCAGCATTTTGGGTACTATCAGCCCAGATGTCAGTGAAATATCTTAAATCACATAGAAAAGGAATCTGAAAAATCTCGTATATTCTCCCTCAGTGTATTATGTTTACTGGGTGTTTTCCTTTTGTAGATATGGTCCTGCCGCCAGCATACCCACCTCCCCCTGTTCCTCATATCAGGAAAACTGCCTACTCAGAAACAAGATCAAATTCCTACGCTGGCAAATCCACTGCACCGACACCACCACCACCACCTCCTAAAAGGAGCTTACCTGATATCAAACTGGAGGATCTCACAAGTGTGAGAGAGCCCCAGTTACAGTGCCGAGCTGAACCTAATGTAAAGACTCAATGCTCAGTCTGGAGACTAAATGAACAGCCACCCCCTGTGCCCCCTTTACCTGTTTTTAAAAAGCCTCCGTGTGTCAAAGAACCTTCCCTATTGCCTCCAGAGCCTCTGCCTCCAGCTCAACTTCTTCCCTCTCCAGAAGGATGTGAGAAGCTAAAAAACTTAAACATTTCACCGCGAACTCCTCCTCCGCTACCAGGCAATAAACCCAAGCTGTCACAGCTTTCTGAAAAACCACTAGAGCCCAAAGTGCCAAGAGAACACAGTAAACCTGGACTGTTTGTGCCACCAGTGCTCCCAAAGCCACCTGTGCCAAGCCACCAGCCCCCTGGAATCAAGCCTAGAGCAGAGAAGTCTTCATGTCCTCAGTTACAGTAAGTATGAAAACACAGTGCATTATTATATTTTTCCATTGTGTATTAGTCAACTAGTTAACAGACATATTTCTCAGACTCATATCAACATCCGTTTCTTTTCCCTGCACCATCCCTCTCTTCCTCAGTGTTGTGCCTGTGTCTGTTATTTGAAAATTTTGCCATGAATATAACTTCCTAAATAGTTCAGAAATAGTAGATAAACCAAACCTGAAAAAAATTACACCAAAAATTTTGTAGTTAATTTGTTTCCAGGTGTGTCTTAAGGACTTAATAGCCTTTGATCACAGTGAGTAAGAAGCCTTTATGTCAGAACCTCAGTGAACTTTAATAACAATTTCAGACTTCTGTGGAGATAGGAAATGTTTCATTTTATATTAAGATCAGCTTTAGTAAGGGATGTGGAACTAGTTATGGTGGAGAATCAGATGAAAATATTTTTGTCCTTTGGATCATTCAGCAGCTCTGAGGTATAAGTAATGCACTCTTTAAAGACAGTACAAGGAACACACTGACAGGCTGGAGTGAGTCCAGTGGCAAATCACCAGGATGTTGGACTGTAGCACATGATAAGTGAGGAGAGGCTGAAACAACTGGATTTGTTCAACTTTTCTGAAGGCTAATGGGAGATCACTGCTATCTACTACTACTTAATGGGTGGATATGGCAAGACAGAGCAAGACCTCAGAGGTCTCCAATGTTGGGGCAAGAGGCAACAGGCAGAAGTCACAACTTGGGAGATTACAGCTAAGTATTAGGAAAAACTTTTTACCAATGCAGATGGTGAAACACCAGAACAGGTTGCTGTGGAATCTCCATCCTTGGAGACATCCAAAACTTGACTGGACATGGCTTCCTGAGAGAGCTGATCTAGCTGGACCTGTTTGTGCAGGAGTTTGGACTAAATGATCTCTAGAGGTCTCTTGCTACCTAAGTTAATCTGTGACTACCTAAATTAATCTGCAAGTACTGCCTCTGGCTCTGGAGCCCCTGAAACGTAAAGATGTTGACCTGTTGGGACTGGTCCAGAGCAAGCCTCTAATTTAATCAGAGGGCTGGAGCACCTCTCCTATAAAGACAGGCTGAGAGAGTTGGGGTTGTTCAGCCTGGAGAAGAGAAGACTCCATGAAGACCTTAGAGCACCTTTCAGTACCTAAAGGGAGGCTACTGAAGAGCTGGAGAGAGGCTTTTCACTAGGGCATGTAGTTACAGGACAAGGGGCAATGGCATTAAACTGAAAGAGGGTTGATGTAGGTTTAGATTATATACTGGGAAGAAATTATTTACTGGGAGGGTGGTTAGGCACTGGCACAGGTTGCCCTGAGAAACTGTGGCTGCCCCACCTCTGGAAGTGTTCAAGTCCAGGCTGGATGGGGCTTGGAGTAACATGGGGTAGTAGAAGGTGTCCCTGTCCATGGCAGGGGTTTGGAACAAGATGATCTTTAAGGTCCCTTCCAACCCAAACCATTCTGTGAGTGTGTGATTTGGGGGCTAAACTGAATCTTCAGTTCTAGTTTCATTATCCTTTCCTAGTTTTGTGTGTATTTTTCTGTTTTTCTGATGAGATGTCCTTCAGTTTTTGTTCTGTTTCTGCCAGGAGATCACCACCAGATGGACAGAGTTTTAGAAGCTTTTCATTTGAAAAACCAGCACTACCTTCCAAGCCAAGACAACCTGATGATGACTCTGATGATGACTATGACAAGGTAAGATCAAGCAGAAGATTCATTCTCAAAGAATCTTTTTTTCCTTGCTTATGTATATTTTTGGGACTGTTTTAAATGCATTATTTCAGGAAAAGAATAGCTCTCTGAAAACACAGTGCTCTGTAATTTTTTTTCATTTCTTTTTGAGGTTTAGCAAATGCCTTGATAAATTCTGGATTGTAATATTGGATATAAAGGAGAAAGAAGCATAAAGATTAAATCACTATTAAGAATTTCAGATACCAATGGCTCTAATTTATTTGCATAACAAGTTTATTAATGTTTTGAGTTATCACTGACTTATGTGGTGATTTATATTCTTCATATTTTTTACAGGTTGGGCTGCCTACTTCAGTATTTCTTAATACCTTTGAATCCTTTGAAGTTGAAAGGTAAAACGTCATTTTAAAATCATGACTTAAAGTCCTACAAAAACTTATACTGAACAGTAGTCCAAAGATCATTTTGATAGATACAACTTGTGTTTATAAACACACAAAAAGTATTTAATATGGAAATCACATTTTAGGGGAGTTAGTGCTCACCTATCAGTTGACACATGGGAATACAACTACTTGCAACGTGATTTTGCTCCACTGGGAGAAGGTTGTTCTGCCAGGATGCTAGATGGGACCAGAAAGCCAGATTATCTGTGCTGTCCTGCTGGTTCAGATGCTGTATCAGTGAAATTCTTTCAGCTGTAATCTACTCTATATTACTACAACTAAAACAGAGATGTGTAATAAGAATTTTAAGACTGTAGGCATTTTACTCATCTAGAGTCAGAAAATGCTAATATATGTAATTTCTTATTCTTTTAGGATATTTAAAGCTTGTAGCCCACAGGGACAACCACAGGATGGGCTGTACTGTATCAGGAACTCATCTACTAAGCCTGGAAAGGTAACTTGAAATTGCTGAATGTACCCCCAAAAAAACTTCTTGATTGAGAGATACTGTATCTTATATATGTGACATGGTACATAACAATTTATATGTGCTCTTTCATTAAGCACAAAAATCTGACAATAGACAAAGACTGTCATAATGTCAGTGATTATTAAACTTTTTTAGGCTGGATTTTAACTAATTCCTTAATAATACCTTGACTCTAGAAGAACTTGTTAGGGTAGACTGAATATATTGTATTTTTCTTGTTCAAGGTTTTGGTTGTATGGGATGAACCTTCAGGAAAAGTGAGAAACTACAGAATCTTTGAAAAGGTTAGTGGCTGCACTATCTGTACTTGTGTATATCATATATGTATATAAAACATGCATGTATATAGGTATATATCAGAACTAATGAGTTAAAGTCTAAACTTTTCTCATTCCTGCAAGTAAAAATCATCTGATTTACAAATATCTAGTCTAGGATAAGAGTTTGAGTACACAGATCTGGGCTTTGTAATTGCTGTATCATGCAAAAGACAAAGTAACTGTAAATGTTGTCATCTAAATTTCAGCTCCAGTCAAATCCCAAAGGCAGAAATATTAAATTCCTGAGTTAAATTTGGACTTATCTGCATGACTAGCTTTTGGCTTTTTTTCTTTAACAACTGAATTGGAAAAATTGCTGTCAATGATGACATATGTTTTTGTTCTACAACAGGATGGCAAGTTTTACCTAGATTCAGACATCATGTTTTTGAATATGGGAAGTTTGGTCGAATACTACAGCACTCATATCTTACCTAGCCATGAAAGCCTGATGCTGCGGTGTCCTTACGGATACTCCAAACCAAGGTGACATGGCAAGCAGAGTTCACTGACACCCTGCAATGAACTGTGGGCTCCTGCCACTGCTGGACATCCATTGTTTGCACATACAAACTGTTTCTGCCATTTATTCTCACACGAATCGTGTATAAACACAATTTAATGGACTCTTGGTAAAACCTTGCAATCCAGATCAGTGGATTTTATGGTCTTTTCTTTTAAAAAGATCTGACCTGACTATGCTGTGAAAGCTGTCCAGGATACCCACACCTTTTTTAAATCTGCTGCTATTACTAATCTCCTCGGAATGCTGAAGATGGACACAAACAGAGAAGGAGTCGGAGTACAACTGGTTCAGAAGAGGAAACTTCTGAAAGTCTATCAGAATTCACTTGCGATGGAATACTAATACTCTGACTTGAAGGTGTTACTCCTTAAGTCAGCACTGGTGCTCAACTGAGATTTTTGTATTACTTGTATAGCTAATGTGTAAATAATGAAGATTTCTGTGCAAATAATTTGGTTTACTATAGGTAGAGATGATCAGGAAATGTGGCTTTCTTTTAAGCCATCTCGTGTGTACAGGTAGGTACCTGCTGACTGCAATGTATGCAGTAATCAATAGCAGGTATTATTCAGCTGATAGGGTTGTGGCATTCCATGTATTCCTTAATGACATGGATTTCAGTTAAGTGTGGAACAATACTGATTTGGCTTTCATGGGAGCCCCATTACCTAGTTCTGATCTGGAAGGGTTAGTGCCACTGGTATTTTTAATGGGTATGAGGAAAGAGAAAGGGCTATTTGAGATTTAGGGAGAAGAGAGAGAGTCTTTTGAATATCCCAGATTCCAGCAGTTTTCTCTCACACTGTCTTAGTCAAAGATTCTTTAAAACACACAAAAAAAACCCAACCCTGAAACCATGATTGTGATGCTACTATCACTCCATTAATTTTTGTGGTCAGTCTCTTAGGAGGTTGTCAGGTTGTCAGCTCATTGCATTCTGTTCTGTTCCAGGGCCAAACACACTGCCCTAGGCTACTTGTTGTACATCACCAGTATTTTTTCTGTTATTAAAATTTCTACTCAGTTTGTAGTTGCATGCAAAATAAAATCTGTTTTTAACATACTCTAATTGATAGGCCTTACCAGGGTGCTTGTAATATTTGTTCCCTAAGATTTTGGGGACAGGTATCCTAAATCCAAGGGTTTGATATTGCTGCCAAAATTACTCTATTCCTAAATTTTAGTAAAGAGGAGAAATTTATTTTAATAACCTGTTATGTAATTATGTTGATTCAAAAGTACTGTCATAATGGTCTCGTACTCTAATAATGTTTACAAGACTTGTAATAGTATTTTTGAAACAATTCTGTCACTCCAGAATCAGGAGAAGGTGTCTAGTTCCTATCACCCTCAATCTGTATCCATAAACATCTTTTTTTTTTTGGTTACCTTTTCAAAGTTTATACATGACCATTTAAATCTTGTTACCATTAGGTGGTCACAGCTTTTAAAATGTAACAAAACCATTACAGAATTAGAATTCTCTTTTTATGAAAACAAGAAACCAGGATTTAGTCCCTAAGGAATTTTCCTTGCTAATCAAATATACTATGAGGATCATACATAGGAACTGAGGTAAGAAACTCTGCTTCCATCTTTTGCAAGAGATGCAGACATACACAGAATGAGTCTTTTGGTCTCTTGTCCCACTGTGATAGGGCTTATGTGTGTATGGAGTACTTAAAATTCAGATTCTGTTGAATATTGGATATTTTTAAGTTTCGAATTCCTTTTATTTTAAATTAATATCCTTTAGGTTTACAACCCTGACATGATCCAGTCTATAAAGAAGTCTCAGCCAACAAAGCCTTTAAAACAAACCAATTTTGGCAAATAGATATAGAGCAAGTTTTAGTTCCTTGTAGTATTCAGACAAACTTTACAGACTAAATTTTTCTCTGTCTGGGAATAATTGACTTCATTGTGTCATGACAGTCACAGTATTTGCAGCTCTCCTTGGGGCCCTATTGAGATATTTCTTTTCCACCATACACTCATAAGATTTTTAAATTGTAAACATACATTTTAAATATAACACTCTTTACCTGTGTAATACAAGATCTGCAAATATGTACATTTTTGTGTTAATTCCTTTTTGTATCTAAATGTATAGATTTCTGAAATGGATAAACTTTCAATGCCAGTTCACTTCCTTTTGTGCAGTCATCTTTAATTTCATGGGGGGTGTTTTAATGCTTTTGTTTCTAGGTGTGTTAAATAATGTTTGATTCTTCTAACTGTGAAGTCAGAAGAATTAGTTTTCAGCCCCCTTAAGAAGCAAATCATCATCTAAGCAATACTATGAGAGATTTGGCATTCTGGTCATCAGACAGAGTGGCCGGGGATGGAAATTACCTATTTTCTATTTACTTAAAAGTTTCTTGAGTGCAGGGTTGAGGACTGCAGCAGTCCTTTTATCTACGGACACAAAATTCAAGTACAGCCATTAGGAGAAGAGCATCTCAGATGAATGGGAATGCTTGAGCAAGAAAGCCAAGTCTTTAAAGGTGTTCTTAAGGAGCTTGCTGAAAAGAATCTTCCCCTTGCCCAGCACCTAACAGCCCTTCTGCTCAGAAACATCAGTGTAACCTGGTAGGTTTACATCTGGAGGTTAGTGCAAGCACAGTAGACTTCTACTCTCATAGGCTTCCACTTGTGTCATCTCCAGAACTCAAGGCAAGAAGCATAGATAAGGACGTGCTAGGTAATCCCCTCATCCCTCCAGAAATAGGCATAAGGGTTTCAAATAAATCTGCAATCGCACTCTTTCTTCCAAGTCCTCTTGCTCTTATGTACTAGTCTAGTTTGTTTTATGACAGCTCAGACGAAATTCTGGTATTTGTAGGGAGGAAAGCACAGCTAGAACACATGACTCAGTCTGTCTCCTGTACCTCTCAGTAACCTGATTCTTGTGTCTGACACAACCTTCTGCAAGCTCCTTGGCTTTAAAATGTTTTCTGGGGAAGTGTAAAAGCAGCACTTGGTGTGCAAGAAAAAAAAAAGTAGTTTGAGTTTGGTAATATCCAAGTCAAAATAATTGACAGTAGTTTGGAAAAAAACTTGCTTCTTGTTGTCCAGGAAGGTGTTACAGGGGATATTTGGGGATGATTGCTTTTCTAGGGGAAAAAAATAAATTGGAGTGCTTCTGCAAACAAAAGCTTCAACAAAGGACTGTTAATCAGTAACAGAAATGATGAACTGATATCCAGACAACTTTTCTATGGCAATCAAGGTGCTTTGTGTTAGCAGTGAAATATTCCTTAGGTCACACTTTCAGTTTTTACGAGAACATGAAGCAGCAGCAGGAGTATTTGTGGCCTCAGGTGCTCCATGCTTTGGAACGTGCAAAAGGGCACTGAAGACTTCGCAAGTTTTGTGTGTGGTTATTTAGAATCTGGGGACATCTGCTGGTCAGCCACTTCCACGCAGGGATCCACACAGCAGGGATCCAGCCACGGAGCGTGAGCATGGAAGTCATTTAGGATAAATCAGCCTTAAGTGACTAAAGGTCAATAGAAGTTAGAGTTTAACATAACTTCTGGTGGAAATTTGTCGGGACAGGTCTTTGGAACAAGACTCTTTTGGCTCATCTGTCTCATATAAGTAGCATTGTCATTTAGCAAAATGACTCATTTGAATGTCTTTTAACCTAGATGACAGTGCAATTAATTCATATTTCTGTGTTTAAAATATTCTTAAAATATACTTTGAGGTAGAATTTACATAATGGACATCTGAGCACCACCTAAATTTACTCACATAGTGAAGCATTAAAGAGTTGTTCTGAGCATTAAATACTTCACCTAGCAACAAGCAAATTGCATGATGTTGCAATAGTTTCTCTCTTATGATATAGTCAGCTCCTTGAAGTCAAGGGTTTTTTTTTCCTAGCAGTGGGAGTGCTTGAGATGTCCATGATTACAGACCCTTAAATTAGGAGAGCTCATAGTTCTTTTACTATAAATACTCAAAGTAATAAAGTACCAAATACCATACACTAGTAGAACTTCCAGAGCATTTGAACTCACTTTAAAACTGGATGGGCTGAAGTGATTAAGTCCAGTAGGCTTCAGATATGTAGTAAGCCTTGTAGCATAGCCAACTCCAAATCTACTCCTTCAGGGCTTCCATTCCTGTATCTTAATTACAGGACAGTCATCACTATCCCTCTTTCCTTGCAGTACCTAGTTCCCAGGAAGTAATCCAACCACTCAGGTTCATGACATGGCCCTAATGGGCATGTAATCTTGGAGATACCAAAGACTCATTTTAAATGTAATTTTACTCACACATCTCTCTACTGGAGTCAGTTTGCACAGAAATGACAGTAATAGCAACTTTTTGCAGGATTATATCTCTGGATATATAAAAAGAGGGAAAAGCATAACTCTTCTTTGAGTTACCACCTTCTCTGCCTTTTAACAATCTCTTTGTACTAACTCCCTCTGCATATGATCTTGGCATAGCTGGTTCAAGCCCTGAGAGGCTGATGTGCACTGAAATTCTGACCTGGAAAGCCTTTCACATAGACAGGTTTTGCACCTGTACTGAAGGCCAGTGATGTGAAAGGACCATCACAGCAGCACTGGAAAAAAAGAAGAGTCTATTCCATGGAAACTTATTAAAGGGTTTTATTACAGGGCAAATATGGAAAGATGTTCCAGGTGTGGCCCTACAAGCTGTCTGGTTTAGGCTTCATTGATCATGTTGTGCTTTAATTTACCCTGTGCTAACACTTACGCTGATTTATTTTTCCAAGGAAATGCCAGCCACACCCTAACCATGAGAGCACTGCTGAAAATGTGCCATTTTAAAATTAAGGGTGACTTAAGGGAATTAAAAATTTGATAATCTAATATTACAAAGCTTCTCTCAAGATTAATTAATTTTCTCCTGTATATAATAATAACTAAAATATTAAATACCTTAAAATATTTTTCTTATGTTGCCCAGCCCTCCTCATT